TGGTGGGGAAAGAGGAGAGAGAAATCATGGAGAAAGAGAGAGTAATTGTGGCACCTTCAAGCAAAAAAAATTCCAAAAGGGGAAAAGGAGTTATTGGTCTTTTCTCCAGTAAAATGAGGTTTCGGTCCACTCAGTGTTATTCAGCTAATTTCAGCTTCTCTCTTTTGGTTTTCGACCCAATTAACTCAATTCGGTACATGGACAAAACATATATATATATATATATATATATATGGGAAAAAGGCCGATTAGTACCTAAACACCATCATCTGGTACCAATCAATATCCAAACAATTTTGATAGGTTAATCAGTACCTGAACTTATTAAAATCGGTAAATACATACCTCAACAATATTTTTGTGGCCAATAAGTATATTGACTTTATGTCTGTTAGTCAAACCTGTTACCTTGCAAATGGAATCCGACTTGGATACCGCCGTGGATGCTCTATTCGAATGAAACCAATACGACGCCGTTTAAGGTTAAAAATCTGGAAAAAAGACAAAATGACGTTATTTTAAATTAATTATCCTTAAAAAAAAATACACCATCTATATCTTCTTTCGTGGGAGAAAAACATCGATAATTAGGATTTGGGTGGTGTTCAAAATCAAATAGGAATGACTTCATCGTCGAATGCTAACGCTTCTTCGGAGATTCATGGTAGGTTTAGGTTTGCAATTTTGGTTTTGATTTTGATTCAAACGCTTTCGGAAAATCAAATCAAAAATTTCAATTTTGATTTTTTTAATGTATAATAGATTTAAAACGACGTAGTTTTTGTCTTTTTCCCCTGATTTTTAACTTTAAATGACGTCGTATTGGTTTCATTCGAACACAGCATCCACCGTGGCATCTGAGTCGGATTCCGTTTGCTTATTAAGTGACTCGAGAAGAGACGAGTCTACTTATATATGTTTGTTTAAATGAAATAAAGTAGACTAGTTTCTTTCTTGAACGGGTTTTTGACACAATGTTTTTAATTTTAACAGAAAAATGGGTGCACCGAAATTTTTTTTTTTTAAGTTGGCGTTAGAAATTTGTAGTTGATTGATGTAGGTTACACTAGTCGTGAGTCTCGTGACATTGTTTCTTGGTAAGGGAGAGGCATAGACTACTCATGACTCATTGCCATGTTTCTTGGTAAGACCCAACCTTTTATCGTCATTTTAGGCCACCTCCAACGGGGGTTCACCATGGTATCACAAGTGGGTCCGTTTTATTTTTTTATGTTTTTTAATTATATTTTCAGCCTAATTTGAGTGAGACGGTATGAGCAGAATCAGTTTATTGAGCCCGTATGACTCGGATATGACTGGACAAGTGGCAAACTCAGATTGACTGTTGTGTGGAGGAGAGAAATTAATCGAGGTCTGCTGTTTCTACTTTTCATTTGGCCTTGATAACTACTTTTTAAAAAAAATAGGTTCATGGATGGAGGCCATTTTTTAGATGGAGATGACTACTTTTCAAAAAACAATAAAACTAATTAAAAATTACTATGAACCCCAACCATGGATATCATGGTTGGAGATGCTCTTAGATTGTTCACTAGACAATTGACACTAAAAGAATAAATTAAAAATGTGGATCACTAGACACTCGAGTTTAATAAAAATCGTATTAACGTATTTTGCTTTACCTTTAGTCAAAGTAGGAAATCAAATGAAATTTAACGGTAAGAAAAAAAAAGAACAAAGAATTCATCAGGAAGTGACGAAGTAGGGGCGGAGGTAGAGAGGAGAGTATGGGGTCCCATGCCCCCTACTCTTTTTTGTTTTTTATTAAATAAACCTTAAAAATATTGATTTAGAATGTATTTAAATGAGTTTATAGAAAAGTGCTCCCAATTATAAAAAAAATATGTATTTTATTGAAAATGCCCCCAACTAAAAAATGTTCAGATGTGCCACTGTGACGAAGTGTATATATATTTTTATTATAGATAATCCTTGCAAGGTTGGGTCTATATAAGATATATGAATGTATCAGATTCAAAAAAAATTACAAGTTCAATTTTCTCACGTATCCAAGTTTTTTTTGGGCATTTCAGACGTCCAACCTTTTATTTGTGATAGCTCTTTATTTTCAGAATATATAACAATCTATTCTATCAATCTATGCTATGGCAAAACACCTAATAAAAGTACAATAGCGTTTCTTTTTGGTTAGTGAAGGCTCGTCATCCACTTTGGGCATCTCATTTTAACTCATTTCCATACAACATACAAGGTGTGAACTCAAGGCGTGAGGCAGCTTCAAGAAGCTCAACGCCTAATAGAAGAACAAGCAGATCAGAACTCAAGGCGTGAGGCAGAGCTTCTCAAAGTTTCTGCTGAGCAACAAGCCAGAATCGACAAGTTAGCTCTGGTGGAAAGGTACTTGACTCAAACTGATCCAGGGTTCTTAGATTTTGTGGCTGCAAATCAAGTTTCAAATAATCCAATGCCTTCACCTAATCACTCTACAACTCCGTAGGTTCTGGTTGGCCTCTGTTTTTCTTTGCTCCTTTATTCTCTTGAAGAACTTATCACAATGATATGCTATGTATTATTTGGGTATTTTGATCACAATGTTTTGGAACAATGTCTATTTTGGTATTTTGGAACAATTCCTATGTTTAATGTAATATATATTTGCTTTTACAAGTTCTTCTAATTATTTGATTTCGAGTTTAGCTTTTTGGTGTAATGAACAAATTTGATCAAATGAAAATAGGAAATATAATGGATTACCAAACCTGAATCCGTTTGATCTATGTAGTCGCAAATTCGTCACAACTTCGTCGTAAATTAGTCACGACTTCGTTGAAAATCAGTCGCTAAACCATAAGAAAACATCACGTTTTTGGTGATATCAGTCTTCAAACAGTCGCTAAAGTGAAAGCAAAGTAGTCGTGATTCAGTCGTTATATACTGCGATTATTTCGCGACTGAATTTTCACGACCACTAATCAGTCGCAAAATGGTCACAAAGTTTGCAACTAATTAGTGACTGAATTTACACGACGTTCCTACGACCGAATCAAAAGTCGCTAATTAGTCACAACTGCAATCACTTATTAGTCGTTAAATTAACTACTAAGTGCCGACTATTTAACGACTGAATGACGTAGTCGTTAAGCAGTCGCGAATTAGTCATTAGTTTGCGACTGATTAGCGACTCTTTATTTTAGCGACGTTAAATTAACGACTAATTTGTTTAGTCGCTACTCAGTCGCAAAACCACTTATAGCGACTGATTTGCGATTGATTTGTTCGTCGCTAAAAACATGTTTTCTTGTAGTGCATGTCCATGCATCTGTTGTTAATTCTGTAATAATATGGGAGCAATATTGTAATCCAAATTACATAAAAGATTTTTTTTTTTGGGTTAGAGAACATATAAGATTCATGTTTTCAACTAATAATCTATTATATAATGAGAGAGTTTTCTCTCCATCTAGACTATCCACATCAGCAAACTCATAAAGCTTAACATTTAAGTATATTTAAAGTATGCATTTAATAAATATATTAATGTTTGTTATTAATATATTTAGTATAAATTAAATTAAATTAAAAAAATTATAGTATAAATTAAAAATAAGTGATAATTAGATATTAATAATTAAAAACATTGTAATACTAACTGGATTAAATATATATATATATATTCTTAAAAATAATAAATTATTAAATTGAAAAAATGTTTTAAAATGATGATAATTAAAAAAAAGCAAAAATAATGAAAAATAATAAGAAAAATAGAAGGAAGAAGAAAAATCAAAATACAAAAACAGAAAATATTAAAAAAATGAAAAAGAATAGAAATTAAAGACCATGAAGAGGAATATGGATAATAAAAAAAAGAACACAAAGCTGATGAAAAAGAATTTTGAAAAATATGAAAACAAAGAAAGAGAACAGAAGATAAAGATATCAAAATATGAAAATATGAAAATGAAGAAGAAGAAAAAAATTAACAAAAATGGATAAATATGATGTTTAAATTTAAAAAAAAGGTAAGAATAAATGATTAAAAATTATTACTGCGCAACGTGTAGAGCATTAACAAAAAATAATAATTTTAATACTGTAATAAAAATCACACAATAGTGATAGATAATATATAAAAGTACATGAAATAAAAAAAATTAACAGAAATTAATAACATAATTAAGAAAATTTGTTATTATATACAAACACTAATAAGGATTGTACAATGTAAATATAGAAAAAACTATTAAACTATAAAAAATTTATCCAACAGATTATTTTTTTAAAAAAAACATATAAAAATATAAAACATATAAAAATATAAAATAAAATTTGCGCGAAGCGCGGACTCAACCCTAGTAATAATAATAATAGAGTTCATACAGCTGTTAAAAAAAGAGTTGATACCGCAAAAAAAAACTAATAATAGAGTTGTAGTGTTGCACACCAAAAAAAAAAACTTATAAAAAAGACGCATGGTCACGTGATGTGAGTCGTGTGATTAGCGCGAAGGATTAACGTAAAATGGCTCAAATTCGCGATCCCACCACTTTAAAATCAATTAATATTCTGTTTAATTTCTTTAGTGGCTAATTAAATTATTAAAACTTCATACCAAAAAAAAACTGACTAATTTACTCATTTGGTAGATACGATTTTGTTTTACTCATTTGGTAGAGACGAATTTGTTTTCATGATATGCTTAATTAAGTTTATATTTTGTTAAGCATTTAATATATCATTTTGTTATGATAAGTATCGTTCTTAAAAGGAAACATCTAACTAACAAGAAGTTAAGTAATTAAAACTAAACTCTGGAAATCAGTGTAAGTGTGGTTAATAAAAGAGAAACAAACAAAAAAAGGAAATTATATTTCTTCTTTCTAATTCGTTTCCTTCTATCTTCCTTGGTACCTTCGAAGAAAAAAAATCCCAATTTTATTATACAAATCTCCCTCGTTTATTTACCGTTAATCTCGATATTAATCGCTGACTCTCTAAACTCTCAGAAAAACCCTACCAAAAGATGAAACCTTTTGTTTAATTAAATTAGCGAAGGGGTTTCAATTCAAAGAGCGTGAATGAAATTGAATCGAACCGACGGATTGTTCATACCCGTTCCTTGGGTTTATAAGAAGAACCCTCCTCTTCCTCCTCCTTCTTCTTCGGGAGTTTTTTTGTTTTATTATTTTTGATTTTTTAGAAAAAAGCAATTTTAGGTCTGGTGAGACAGGTAGGCAACATCCTCTCTGAGCACTTTTAATTCTTCACTTTCTTCTAAATTGTGTATTATGATGATGAGTACCGTTGTTTATATTTGACTTGTAAGCAATCTCTTTAACGTTTTAGTTAGGTGGACTGTATAATTTATCCTTTATTTTCTTATTGTTGCGCCTAATTATGCATTTCAGATTTTGATTTTGGGGTTTGACTCTGCTTTTAGCATTTCGCTGTTATCCTTTTTTTGTTGTTTGAATTTTCGTTCAAATATGACTAGAGTCTCTCTTCTGTACAGTAGGAGGAATTGACTAGCACGAAAGGCGCGACTTTTATGGTAGCCAAAGACCAAAAGTTGAATAATTCCTTCTTACCAATTTCTTTCTTTGGTTTATGGAACAGAGTGTGATGGGTACTCGTGGGGATGAAGAAGACGAAGATTGCTTCTTTGATGCCCCTGAATCAGAAGCAGAAGGAGAAGAAGAGGTATCATCTGTTTCTCAGGAAATCGGTGGTTTACGTCTCTGGACCAACAACCCTGAGAGTGTTTCCAATCGACGGCGTAAGTTCTTCCAGTCTATGGGGTTTAGTTTCAAAAAGACCGCAACAGAAGAGGATTCCTCCGAGTCTGAAGAAGATGAGCTCGAACCACCCCGATCTCAACTTTCTGATTCTTCAATGTCAAACTCGGTGGATTTGTTGTTGAGGAATGAATCCACTACGTCCTCTGGATTCGAGCGATCCTCTGTTTCGTCATTTGATGATCAAACCTTGTTGTCCTCCAGTAGTATGTCTGAAGGGTTGAGTGAATCTGGTTCAAGTAGATCGGGTAGCTTTGGTGATTTTCACAACTCTCCATCGAGCCGTTCAGATGATCCCTTAAAGAAAGGGGCACAATCTTGGTTAAAGAAGCTAGGTCTTTTGACACATGTCCTTGACTCCATGGACTGTGAGTCTGTGGGATCTCCGTTGAAGAAGCGAGTCGCGCGAGTGCAGGCGTTCAAAAAGCAGTTCAAGGAGCTCTCATCTCTGTGTGTTGACCAAGAGTTTTCAGCGCACGATGGCTCAATCTTAGCCATGAAGTTTTCTCCTGATGGGAAATACATTGCAAGCGCTGGCGAAGACTGCGTCGTTCGAGTGTGGAGCATAGCCGAGGAAGAGAGAACAGACAAGTATGAAGTAGCTGAGTCTGATTCTGGTGTTTACTTTGCGATGAATCAACATTCTCAGATTGAGCCTCTGAATATTAGCAATGAGAAAACAGAAAAGAAAAAGGTAAGTTTTTTGAGGAAGTCATCGGACTCAACTTGCGTTGTGCTACCCTCTAAGATCTTCTGTATATCGGAGAAGCCTCTGCATGAGTTTAGAGGACATATTGGTGAGATCTTGGATCTTTCCTGGTCGGAGAAAAGGGTAAGACATCTTATCTTTTCCTTCCTAGCTAGTTATAATCTTGTCTTATTGATTGTCCAGTAATTTTCTTTACTCTTTTTTTTTTTCCTTGTTGCTGCAGTATCTCCTGTCATCTTCTGTGGACGAGACTGTTCGTCTATGGAGAGTAGGTTCTGATGAATGTCTCAGAACTTTCTTTCATAACAATTTCGGTGAGCTTCTTCTTCTTCTTCTTCTCCGTCTTATCTTTCTTCTTTTTCTTCTGTCTACTCATTCACACCTCCCTCCTCCTTACACAGTGACTTGTGTAGCATTCAACCCTGTGGACGATAATTACTTCATAAGCGGATCAATCGATGGCAAAGTTCGAATGTGGGATGTGTCTCGCTGTCGGGTTGTTGACTACACAGATATAAGAGACATTGTAACAGCTGTGTGCTATCGTCCAGATGCAAAGGTGCTTTGAAAGACTTTAGTTTTCCCTTATTTGACATTTATTGTATGAGCAGTTTCTTACTTACTAGAGATGTTTGCAGGGTGCAGTGATAGGTTCCATAACAGGGAACTGTCGCTTCTACCATATATTCGGTATGCAATTAGTTGTTGAGATAACTACTTGTTATACGAATATAATGTAATGGATAATTAGCGGAGTGTTTCATATTGTGCATTTTCAGATAAGCAGCTGCAAATGGACAGAGAGATTAACTTACATGGGAAGAAGAAGTTTCCAGGGAAAAGGATCACTGGTCTCCAGTTTTTGCCCAATGACTCGGACAAAGTAATGGTTACTTGTGCTGATTCACAGATTCGAATCATATGTGGAGAGGATGTAATCTGCAAGCTTAAAGGTTAGGCTTTTGTTTGAGACAGTGGTTTGGATTTCTTCTGTTTAAGACTATCAAAGATGTTAAACTCTTTTTGTGAATTACCTATTTGGTTTGCAGGTTCTAGCCTTTGCACAACATCAGCTTCATTTACTTTAGACGGGAAACACATTGTGTCAACAACAGAGGACTCGAGCATTCATGTGTGGAATAGCTCTCAATTACCGAGATCCAAGAAGCCATCTTCTGGAAAACCGAAAAGCATAAGGTCTTACGAGGGGTTTCTCTCACAAAATGCGTCAGTGACTGTACCTTGGCTCAGGCAGGAAAACAGGAACAGGCTAAGCGAGTGCATCACATGTCTGGACAAGGAGATAGGGAAAGTGGACTGCTGTTTCTCACCAAAGAAAGGATCAACAACGTGGCCTGAAGAGGAGCTGGAAGAAACAGCAGCAACAACAAGGAGCAGCAGAGGGAAGAAGCTGAGGCTTGTGAGGAGCACGTGGCAGCCTAACATGTGGGGGCTTGTGATCGTGACAGGGACTTGGGATGGAAAGATGAGAGTGTTCAACAACTATGGATTGCCAGTTCCGGTCTAAAAAGACAAGTGAATATTAGTATTAGATAGATAGGATTCTTTTGATTTGTATATCAAAGCTACTTACTTGCTACCACTAGTACCTAGGCGTAAGATGTGTATACACATTATTAGCACATAGGATATCTAAAAGATGTATTGTGCTCTCTCAAGTTATACTATATTATCTCCCTTTGGGAAATGTCGTTTAAACCCTCCTCTCTCTCAAGTTGTGAGATCAAGTCTTCTCAAGGTAGAGAGGCATTTCCCCATACGTCAGATTGTAATTCCCCATTGGAGTAAAAACATAAAAAAATGGGAACAAGTACCGAAACGGCAAGCGGCACGTTCTAGTTGACCCCAAGAAATGATCGTTTGGATAACGTTTTGGCAGTGGCTCGTTTTTTCACGCGACCAATTCACATCATTTCTTCTTCATTTCTTCTTCTTCTTCTTTTTAAAAGAGAGCATTTTTTTTCTTGTTTATCTCCTATCCTTCCTTTTCCTTCCTCCGTTAAAAAGAAAATCCATCCATTGAATTGCCCTGAAAACAAATAATTCGATGGGTTTTCTGGTGGATACGCAAAAGGAAGGAGGTGGATATTCATGGGGTTGCCTCAGGAGTTTGGTCAGGAGGAAACAGGTCGACTCTGCAATTTCTTCTCATCATCAGCTTGCCAAAGCCCTAACTGTTCCTCACTTGATTGCAATTGGTAATTCTTCAAAGTTTTTTGGTTACATACCAAATTATTCATGGGTTTGTCTTTTTTGTTAATTCTCGAGTGGTCAATTCATCTGGATACGGCCAAGGCGAAGACTTTATCATTCTCTTGTTTGATTTTTTTTTTCCTTCTCCATCATCAATCATCATCATCATGGGGTTTTCTCATCTCTAAGAGCAAAAAAAGAAAAGCTTTTCGATTGTTGTTTTGATGTAGCGATTCAGTCATTCTTCCTCGCTGTGTGATAAATAGGTGTGGGAGCAACAATAGGAGCCGGAGTGTATATTCTGGTAGGAACAGTTGCAAGAGAGCATTCAGGACCAGCTCTTGCTTTGTCCTTTCTTATTGCTGGAATCGCAGCTGCCCTCTCTGCCTTTTGCTATGCTGAGCTCTCTAGTCGTTGTCCCTCTGCTGGCAGTGCCTATCACTATTCTTACATTTGTGTCGGCGAAGGTGTTGCCTGGTTGATTGGTTGGGCCCTCATTCTCGAATACACCATTGGTGGCTCTGCTGTTGCCCGAGGCATCTCCCCAAATCTGGTTTGTTTTGCCTTCTTTTCCTTTTTTCTCACCTTCTTCTGTTAGCACCAATAAGTGTGCTGAAGCTTTATAAGCTCTATAGGCATTGATTTTTGGTGGTGAAGATGGTTTGCCTGCATTCTTAGCTCGTCACCAGATCCCAGGCCTTGATGTTGTTGTTGATCCATGTGCTGCTTTTCTAGTCTTCATCGTAACTGGCCTTTTGTGCCTGGGAATAAAGGAGGTATTACAAGCTTTGATCTGTTTTCGATCCCAATCAGGATATATTTCAAACTCTGGTTCAAATTGTGACCGACATCTCTTCTTTCTGTGCAGAGCACATTTGCTCAGGGGGTTGTAACTGCAGCCAACGTGTGTGTCTTGTTATTTGTCATAGTAGCTGGCAGTTATCTGGGCTTCAAGACAGGTTGGGCTGGTTATGAACTTCCGACCGGGTGAGATGACCATTCACTCTAACTTGACTTGTGAGTCATCATAGTTTGAGATATGGCTTTAAACGAAACCGTTTGTCTTGTTCCTTTTTTTTTAATAGTTTTTTTCCATTCGGAGTTGATGGAATGCTTGCTGGTTCTGCTACCGTCTTCTTTGCATTCATTGGGTTTGATTCGGTTGCAAGTGCTGCAGAGGAGGTAAATTTTGGAATCATTCATGTTCTTCTTGCAAGTATCTATCTTTTTTCTTCTTTTTGTTGCATCCTTTCAAGAAATTTAGAGGTACTAATGATGATGCTATCCACATCTATGTGAATGTGCAGGTGAAAAACCCTCAACGAGATTTACCAATTGGTATTGGTCTTGCACTCTTTCTCTGTTGCTCTCTCTACATGATGGTCTCCATTGTTATTGTTGGTTTAGTTCCGTACTATGCAATGGATCCTGACACTCCGATATCCTCTGCGTTCGCTAGTCATGACATGCAGTGGGCCGTGTAAGTATATGATCGTTTAAGTTCCACAATCCCGACTTAGACATGTTTATTGAGATTGATTGTTTTCTTTTTTTTTTTTGGGAATTTTGATGTAGATACTTGATAACTTTAGGAGCTGTCATGGCTCTCTGCTCAGCTTTAATGGGTGCCCTTCTCCCTCAGGTAAAGTAGAAAAATAAATCAATGATTTAAAATTTGAACCTCAGAATGTGTTAGGTTGTTGCTCAATATGAATGATTGTTTTTTAATTTTTCTAGCCGAGAATTCTGATGGCAATGGCTAGGGATGGTCTGCTGCCTTCTATATTCTCAGACGTTAATAGACGCACACAGGTTCCAGTTAAAGCGACATTAGCAACTGGGCTTTGTGCGGCGACCTTAGCGTTCTTTATGGATGTTTCACAGCTTGCAGGCATGGTAAGACGACAACAGTTTTGTGTTTCATTGTTGCTGGAACCTTTTGTCGTCGTTATTTAGTATCTGAGAGCTGGTGCTGGTGTTGCAGGTGAGTGTTGGAACGCTTCTGGCATTTACAATGGTGGCGATATCAGTGTTGATACTCAGATATGTTCCTCCAGATGAGCTGCCTCTTCCGTCATCTCTCCAAGAGAGAATTGATTCTGTTTCCGTTATATCATCCGATCATATTGGCACTTCTAATAGTACCAAACAGCCTTTAATCTGCGGGAACGATGTTTCGGTTCATTTCCCAGTTATCGAGAAGCAAGAAGCTCTTGGTTGTTGTAAGTAGAAACATCATCTCTTTCTTTCCTATTTTGTTTTTTGAAAGCAAATATTCTTACATGCACAGAAGTGAACACATATGTGTTGATGATGATTGTGCAGGGGTTCTCAGCGAAGAAAACAGGAGGAGAGTGGCGGGATGGAGCATTATGTTCACTTGCATTGGGGCCTTCCTTCTAAGTTATGCGGCATCAAGCCTCAACTTCCCAGGTTTACTTAGATATCCACTCTGTGGTGTTGGTGGAAGTCTCCTCCTTGCTGGTTTGATTGCTCTGAGCTCTATAGATCAGGATGATGCCAGGCACACTTTTGGACACACTGGAGGTAAGTAATTTGATTTGGTAAACAATGACATTTTCTCAAACAAATGCCACTTATGATTATATAATATTTTTGAATAGGTTTCATTTGCCCGTTTGTTCCCCTGCTGCCAATCATATGCATTCTCATCAACATGTACCTTTTGGTGAACCTTGGGTGAGTCTCTCACTATCTCTGCATGCTCCTTCCTTTATTATTCCCCCCCCCCCCCCTCCAAAAAGGAACCAGCATAATCTTTTCTGACTTGACAGATCTGCAACATGGGCTCGTGTATCGGTGTGGCTGTTGATCGGAGTACTTGTGTATGTTTTCTATGGCCGGAAGCACAGCTCATTAGCCAATGCAGTTTACGTAACTACAGCTCATGCGGAGGAGATATATCGTGAACATCAAATTTCTTTGGCATAGTCTCTCAATCTCTTTGGTAATAATAATATATAGATATACGATGTGACAAAATCTGTATTATTTTCATTTGGAACCAACAACACTGGCAAAAGCTATATCCACAGACTCTTTGTAAATAATATATATATATCATCATAAATTCATAAACAGAAAAGACTCGACACGTTTTAGTTATGTACAAGCTTGTTAAAAAGCGAAGCAATGTGAGTTTTTTTTAGTGTGTTTCTTTTTGTTGGTCTATTTGGTGTAGAGACATGAATCTTTCATTACGTCCTCATTTGGCGGATGATCTTTTTTTTTTGGTCAAACGATCATTATATTAAGCTAATGGTTTTAGGCTCCAAAGAGGGAGTTTGAGTTTACAGAAACAAGTGCTGCCTTGGCTAAGGAATCAGCAGTCGCATTAAGGTTGCGTGCAACAAAAACAAAAGAGATAGAAGAAAAGAAAGTGCAGAGATGGAAAATATCCTGCAGGATTCCTCTTAGAACTTTCGACCATCCTCTAGACTTGAGGAGATTAACGAGAACTTGGCAGTCTGAGCGAACTTCACACTTGTCTAAGCTGAGGCATATAGCCTTTTCCAGGGCTTTTTTAACCGCTGTAGCTTCTGCCATAAGCGGAGAGGCGATGAATCTGGAGTGTGTGGATGCCTCTTCAATAAAGGTTCCATCATAACCTGAAAAAGAAAAACCAATACCACAATTTTCTGATTTTGCGCACCAAGCAGCATCTACATGACACACCGGGACATTTGTGGTGTGTGGTAGTGCTGCGGGGGGGGGGTCGAGGTGTGACAGTAACGGTAGAAGACTGTTGCGCTATGGCCCATTCCTTTGCTTCTTTAATAGCTTTCAACACCAGGTCTTTGGCAGAGATATGACGGTCCTCAAAAAGAAGTCCATTTCGAGCTTTCCATAAATTCCACATAATCCATGGAAACAGAGGAGCGTTGATAAGCCCCGTAGGAGGTAAGTTGCGAGCTAGAACACCAATTTCTAGGAGCTGTTTGACAGAGTTTATCGAGGTTCCTTGAGAGGAGACCTGTAGAGGAGTTGCGTCCCATACCTGAGCTGCGAAAGGGCATTATAAGGAGGAAGTGGATTTCGTCTTCCCTCTCTCCACAATGTCGGCACCTAGAAGAAGTCATTCCACGTTTCGCTAGGTTTGCACTAACCGGAAGAGCACCCGAGGTGGCTTTTCAGAGGAAATTCCGGAGTTTTGGTGAAGTGGGAATATTCCAAATACAGTTTTTCCAGGAAAACATAGGATCCACATTGGGTAGAGGGGTCGCTTCAAGCCTTGCCAATGCATATCCCGATCGTGGAGAGTATTCCCCTGATACTTCCGGTAACCAGATCCAGCTATCCCTTGCTGGGGACAAGCAGACGTAAATTTTCCGGATAGTAGCCTCATACTGAAGGAAGGGGGGAGACGGGATTTTCTGGATATCCCAGCTTTGGAGAAGTGGACATAGAAAGGTCTTTTTACCCCTGGGGTTAACGGTTTGGCAATGGTAGGGGGGACCTATTGGGGGTTAGAGGATGATCAAGCGAGGAGCCACGATCACTCCAACTCGAACCTGACTTCGTCGCTATAGAGTACGCAAACCTTTCGAGACGTCAAGGCCGATGATGAATGCCTCCTCCACCCATGAGACGCAGCACATGGGGGTTTTTTGCAGTCCAATAAGGATGAAGAGGCCCTTTGAGAACCTGTGCAAGCAAAGAGTCGGGATTTTGGCAAAGTCTCCAACCGATTTTTGCCAAGAGGGCATCATTGAAGGCCTGGAGATCTCGGAATCCAAGTCCACCAGCAGACTTCGGAAGAGTAATAAGCTTGTCCCATGCCAACCAACAGATTTTCTTATGATCAGGTTTGGCATCCCACCAAAATCTGGTAAGAGCGGATTGAATCTGTTTACAGAGGGAGGCAGGGAGCTTAAAACAGGACATAGCATAAGCAGGCATGGCCGCCAACACAGACTGAAGCAGAACTTGTTTCCCAGCACCGGAGAGAAAGCGTGTGGACCAAGAGATGGTTCGTTGGCGAATCCTATCAATGATCGAGGCAAAAATATCCCTCTTCCTCCTTCCAAAGTGCTCTGGAAGACCCAGGTATTTACCAATACCGCCTTCCCCAGGGATCTGAAGTCGAAGTCGAAGCTTAACCCGTTCTTTTGCCTCAAGAGGGGTTTTGGAGGAGAAGGTGATAGATGACTTCTGAAGGTTAATCCGTTGGCCTGAAGTGCTCTCATACTGATGGAGAATCTGGAGCAGGGCTTCAATACAAGTGGAGCTCGACTTGCAGAAAAACATAGGCGGATGATCAAAATCTTGTTATTTGTACTTACGATTCAAATTGGTATCTCTCTCTGAGGGGAAATGTTCTTTTAAACACTCTTTCACTAAATTATGATGATATTATATGAATGAATGATAAAATAGAGGATAAGATAAAAAAAAAAAAAAACTAAGGCCAGGCACCCCATTTCTGGTCTTGATCTGGACGACACCACTCAGCATCTATTTTTCTTCTCTCTTTGCGACTGTCTTGTTGGGTGGTCAATGGCCAAAGGTCTCCCCAAAACGATTTTTTGGCCTGCAGATGAAGGTGAGGGTTCTTGCTTTTCGTGATCACTCTCCTTTCAAAAGCTCCCTCTGACCCTTCCTCGTTTGTCGGCACACACAGATCCAACGTCACTTGTTTCCCTTTGCGGAATGGAGGGAATATGATCCTTCCCCACCCGCCTCCCACGCTTGCCCTCGCACTCTCTTCCTCCTCTTCTTCTTCAGTACCTTCACAGTCTTCTTCTTCCTCCTTATCCTCATTAATACCTTCACCGTCTTCTTCTTCATCCTCATCGATACCTTCACCGTCTTCTTCTTCCTCCTCATCAATACCTTTACCGTCTTCTTCTTCATCCTCATCCTCATCCTCATCAACACCTTCACCGTCTTCTTCTTCATCCTCATCCTCATCCTCGTCCATGACATCAGAGTCTTCTGCTCTTGGGTCAATGTAAGGCACCTCAACCACCTGTGATTTGATAAAATCCTCTGCAGATATCAAATGAACACGAATATCCGTTAGGCACACAGCTCAAAAGGGTCCAACACTAGATGTGCACATGTATCTCATAAATTAACCGCAGGCTTACCATAATCAATCTCGAGATCCTCGGGTTTCCTACTCGCGCGCAACTCCTTCAAACTCTCCAACTTCATACCATCAAGAGGCCATGGCTCCCTATATTAACCCAAAACTCAATCTTCTTAACAACTTTTTGCCAAAGCTAAACAATTAATAATCATTCAACATCACAAATCTACTAACCGTGGACGCTGGCCTCTCCTGAAAGCCACAAAAGAAAACTTCTCATCCTCAAACCCACGCAAGGGGACACCTTTTGTACGCTAAACAAGGTTAAGGTTTGGAGTCATCAGCAGACTAATAGATGACTGAAATCTATATATTTGCAGAAGAAAAACTCCAAGAACACATGAGGAACCTTGTAGGAACGCTGGGACGAAGTTCTCTGCAACCGCTGAACAAAATGGCAATACTTTCCAGTGTTTTCCAACGGGCACTTTCCATCATGAGGGCACTGCGTTTGCAACCCAATTGTGTTTACAATACATTCATGGAATTGTTTTCCAAAAAAAAAAAACAGCTCAGCTTCTTTATTAAGTGAAGGAGACTTTTCAATACTGATACTTACTGGAGCAACAATATGCGCACCAGATTTGAGATCGAGCACGTCCTTTCCAGCTTCGTCTTCCTTCGTTTTCTTTTCCAGTTTACTCAGTTTCTAGACAAATGAACACATAGCAAATAAGCAGAAGAGAAATAAATAACTTCAGACAACAGAAACAGATCGTCACTTGAGCAAATGAAAACTACCCTCTTCTCCATCCACAGTATATGGGACCGCATCTGAGATATAATATTAGCACCATGTGGCGTTCCTGGCTCAATCAAAACCTGTTCAACCAGAATTTATGTTAATAATTTGTAAAAAACCATTCAAATCAAATGTTCTAGTATAAAGGAAAATATTTGAGGAGCACTACATGTTCTAGTATAAAGGAAATCATTGAGCAGAATGAGAGATGGTCAAACTGAAAACCATACCAATAGATCATCCGTAAGGTCCCAGAGCTGGCGAACCACAGTAATCCTGTCTTTTAGAGAAGGTATCTCCCCTAGCACGTACGACTTAACCACCACAACAACAATAACAAAAAAAAAAAAAACACACACACATGTTGAACTTAAATCACTAAACAGTAAAGTTATAAACAAGAACCGCAGCTTATGTTAGTGAAAAGTAAAAAAAAAAACCCTAAGCAAAAGGGATAACCTACAGCGATCACAAGATCATGTTTCCTCTCTTTGTTCTTAAGTTTTTTGTCCTTGATTTTTTTGCAAATCTCTTTACTAAGAGCTTGCAGGCTAGTATACCCATGGATGAGAGGCAAATCCTTGAGGCCTTTCATATTCACACCAAAGTAAGATCAGAATCAATCAACACAAAAAAGTGTTTGAAGAGCTTTGACAGAGTAACCAAAGTCATTTACCCTGTATTAAGTTACGTCCTGCACGCTGCATTGACGGTGAAGGTTCCACTATATTTATCTTCTCCGCAGACTTTGGCCAAACCTCTTGAACCGCCCTACAAGATGCTACAAAGAATCAAGAACAACAAAATATAAGAGAGGATGTAATCAGGAAGCATTGATCTCCTCACCAGAAACCAGAACCGGTGCCAGCACCAAAATCCAGCACTTTCGTAGGCGCAAAATCCGGTAACCTTCGACGAATCTACAGATCAGATAAGAAGATTTTTAGATTAATCAGAAAAAAACAAGTTTTCCAAGACAACTCCAAGCTCAATAATGAAGCTCATAGCCTAATATGGTATCACTAATCAGCATCTAAGGCCTCAACATCACTGACGCAAACCATAAATTTACAAATTCACAAAGTCCATGAGTACGGTGAAGAAGAATCGAAAAATGGACCTCAATGAGGACTCTGTAACAGACGGAGAAGACGGCGGGCATGCGAGAAGCAATGTAAGCGGCAGTCTCACCGTCTCTGTATTCGAGACCGCTATCTCCATAAACGGTCTGTATCTTCCATCGCTTAGTCTCCACAGAGTTGATAGAATCTGCTAGACTCTTGGCCGTGGTTTCAGGTAACAGCAGATTCGTGTCCTTGATCTCTTTGAATGATTCCGATAGCTGACGCACCCTCTTCCTGATGTGCGGATCATCTTCCTCTGCAACCCAAATACTATCTATCATCGCAACCGGAATTTTGAAAATGGATCGAAGAAACTAGAAAAAAGGAAGGTTAAGAGTGTACCGCGAAGATATTTCTTGATAGAGCGGCGGAGACGGACGGGAACGACGAGGCAGCGGAGAGACTGCTTGGCTGCAGTCCTTAGGGTTTCGACAGTGAAGACTTTCTGGGCATTCGCCATTTCAGCCCGCCGGAGCTTGATGTTCCTCAGTTGCAGGCGAGGTTTTAGCCTCGGTGGAGGAAGGAGAGGGTTTTAGGGCTTAGCGCCATGGGCCAACGCTTATGGTATTTTTCAAATTTAAATGGGCCTTTAAATTACCAAATTGTTCGTTATTTCATGGGCCCAGAATGAAACAACAAATACCATTTTTTTCCTTATATGTTTTTCCAATTTTTTTTTGTTTAGAAGGATTTCTTGGAAGGGGAGCCAGGGTTTTTATAAACCACTTTTCAACTTATATCCTTCTCCTACACTACATCATAATTAGTTAATTACTGTTGCTTTGAAGGAGATGGAGCCGTACTAATCTGTCTCTGGGATCCAATGCCAAGATCTCCAACAGACTAAAAGGCAGAGACAAAGATACATGTAGTAGTCAAAGGTATAAAATCTCTTTAATTTGGTATACCAGTGATATATTAAAAAAAACTCTAAAAAATTACTGTCTTACAGGGTCTGTTGTTTCGTCTGAAGTTGGAGCTGTTGAAGAAGCATCTGTGGGACTTGTTTCCACATCAAAATCTCAATCTGTCAAGCGTAAAATCTTGGAAGAGTTGGTCACTTGCAATCGCGGGCTAAGAGAATTTGAACGGCTCAATCAAGTAATCATTCAAAATGAGTCCGATAATAAGAAAAGAAGAGAAAGAAGGCTGCTTTGGAGATTGTGAAAGAACATGTCCGTGAATTTATCAGAGACATACTGAGGGATCAGGGAATCTGAGAAGGGAAGCCATATCGATGCAGTCAAGGATTTGAAGAAGTTGACTGACCAATGACCAACATGTGTTTAAGACCAACAAAGATATTGAAAAGCTTGAGAAAAAGAAGAAAAAGAAGCAACAAATTTCAAAGAAGAACAAGAAATGAGGGCATGGACCTTCAGACACTAACTATGGCTGTTCACGAATTCAGAAAAACTTTACTTCCTAATTTCTCAAGTTCTACCATGCATTACTTCTCATCTTCTAACTCAAGCATATTGAATCTCTCTTAAATTTCAAGGTTAAAAAGTCAACATCAAAATATGTGGAATTTCATCTTGTCTTAGCGTTAAAGAGTTATACCAGCAATATATAGAAGAAAGGTTTAAGCGAAGAAAACTCTTTAAATTGGTTCGATCTTGTTGGAGAGGACTCAACATAACAAATTTGGAAATGGGGTCATCATATTTTTCTACTAATGCAGCTTTAACAGAGTCATATTTATGATATTTACACCAAAATTTCATGTGAAGAAACCACATAGATATATTAGTACCCCATGAGTTAGATTTAAAATCCAACATTCATAATTTCCATCTTACACATAGCTGGTCTTTGCGTTCTTGGCTGATATATATTCTTCTTGCCTTTCTTCAAGGTTCTGGAATGAGCTTCCTGACCCAACTGCACAGCTTTAAGCTTATATAAAGATTGTATCGATGGTAATGAAGATTGATAGCTAGAGTCAAATTCTTTATAATATATTGACTGTGCTAGATTGACGTAGCTAGGTAGGAATCATATATATATATATATAACAAAGACATACTGGCGTAAGCTATATTATATATATATAGAATTTACAAAACCCTACAAACTATCTATATATTACTCCCTCCGTTTCACAAAGAGTGTCGTTCTGACATTCTTCACACAAATTAAGAAATAAGATAAAATATCTCTTATACCCTTATTAATTTGCAGAAAATGACTCTTAGAATCATATTTATAATTAATTTTCTGAATTTATTGAGGTTAAAAATGGTATTTTATGTTAAAAATTACATTGGAATTCTAAAACGATATTCTTTTTGAAAAAAAAAAGGTCAGAACGACATTCTTTGTGAAACGGAAAGAGTATATGATTTACATGAGCACCCACAACCATATATGTAAATAGGCAAGCGTAATTACACAGAAAAGAAACATATATAGGGTTTTGACCCATTGCTAGACCTATCTATATAAAGATTATTACAGGGCTTGACATTTAAGATTGTTGGTTAAAGAGTAGTCAAAGGTTTGATTATCATAAACATTGATAATGGGAGTGGAAGCTGGAGAAACCAACAACTCAGAAGCAGCCCACAGTCTCTGAGCTCGAAGATTGCAAGATCCGAATTTAGAAGTCCGAGCTTCGTTGCAGTCGGAGAAGTACTTGCCGCACACGTTCCTCAATCTCGGACTTGTTGCCACGTAACAAGTCGTTGCTGCTGCCTATACATGATATTAATTAATAAATGAAAAAGAGACGATTAACTAATTATTGATGAATAATAATATTACCTGAGGAACAGACTTGAGTAGCTTGGAGGTGAAGAAAAACACTAAATCAGTGAGGAAGCCATCTCGGTCTCTTGTGAGACGTGTTCTCACGATTCCAGGATGAACACAGTTGGCCGTTACATTAGCATCCATTTTCTGCATTGCAGTGATTAGTCAAATAAATAATGAGATCAATACTAAAAAAAAAAAAAAGAAAAAGGGGTTTAAAAAGTGTGTGATAAATTACGGACATGGAGAATCCGAGAAAGCTGGATGGTGTGAAGAACGTTGGCGAGCTTGGAGAGAGCGTAAGCTCGGGTCGCGTCGTAATTTCTACAAAACGCAAAGTCAAGGAAAAATAGAGGGTCAAACTCATCAACTCCCCAAACACGGCCTACTAATATCAAGTAGTAATATTTTATGATCTCATAGTTAATTAGTATTTGTATAATTAAAAATAAAGACGAGGACGAAGGCGACGGCGTTTATTTTTGTCGTCGCATAAATCACCTTTCTGTGAATAATAATTGATTGATTGATTTATATTCGAGAAAAAAATGATGATTGGAAATGAATATTGTATTAACAAATAAAAGACCTGTTGTGTCGTGAAATATCGGCGAGATAGAGAAACATATCGCCAGAGAACCAGCTATGGATGACGGAGGAGACGTTGACGATACGGCCTTGAACGCCGGTGAGGGCCGCCGTTTCGATCATCTTCTCCAAAAGCAGTTTAGTCAGCAGAAAATGGCCGAGATAGTTGGTGGCGAAGGTCATCTCCACACCGTCCTCAGATATGGCGTGCTTCTGCGCGTATTTTCCGGCATTGTTGCTACAAGAAGAGACCACCAAAAATATCGTATTTTTTACGTTTGACGAAGAGTGTCGTTTTAAGGTTTTATTTTTCTTTCACAAAAAGTGTCGTTTTATATTTTCAATACAAAATTTTAAACAATATTCTAATTTTAATTCTATTAATTTAATGTATTTACTAAATAAAAACAAATTATTTAATATATTAATAAAGGATAAAATTGTACTTTTAATAATTTTTTTAATATGTGTGATAAATGTCAGAATCATATTCTTTGTGAAATGGAGAGAGAAAAAAATTCTCGAGAATAAAGAAGAAGAAGAAGAGTGAAGTGATCATTAAATAATTACATGAGGAAGTTGAGAGGGAGACGGAGAGAAAGGAAAAGGGAGACGAAACGGCGAACGGAGGAAAGAGAGGAGAGATCGAGTTGCATAACGATGATCTCCGATTCTGGAAACTCCGATTGGATTCTCGACTTTGTCTCCTCCGCTCTTTTCACGCTCCGAGCAGGCAGCACCAGCCTCGCCCCTCGCTTCGCCATCACTCGCGCCGTCTCCGCTCCTATCCCCGACGTCGCTCCTTTTTTTTTTTATTATTATTATTTTTTTTTTGGATGGAAACGTACGGTTTATTAGTGAATAATTTAAGATTTGAGAAATGGAAAGAAGATAGGATAGTAAAGCACAAACCAGTGATGATGGCAGTTAGAGATCGGAGATCAGAGTTAGCAGTGACTTCATCGGCTGTGGATCTCGACCCGAATCCGCTGGGTCCTCCTGAGCCCATCAGGTGCTTTACCGTCTCTATCATCCTTTTTTCTGTTTTCTGTTTATTGAGAGAGTCTAGACTATTTTTTGACTTAAGTTTGTGTGTGTTTTGGTAATTGAGAGTTGAGACTACCACTAAATGGTGAGTGTATATTTATAGTGCTACGTGTTGTTGGGGAGGAACATAGCAATCGAGAGATGCGGTGAAAGGAGACAACATTCTTCTCTGTTTGTATTTTTATTATTTTGGATTACTTATTTACTTTCTCTCATCTCTGAAACAATACAAAGAATAAAATATTTCATGACAGTATATAAACAAGTTATTGATTGGCACCACAACAAAATTAAATTCCGGAATTAATTTGATTATTATAAACGTTTAGTTAGCCAACTCTATTTGACTACCACAATATATTTATTGAGGAAGATGAGTCATCGAGCAAAATTATATACTTGGAATTGGGTGATTACAAACCATACTCCTCCAAATTTTACAAACAGAAAACTGTAATATTCAAGTGCAAAAACAAATGCATAGATAGTGCCATGTTTTGGGTAACACTCACTATTTATCAATCATCTCCAACTTTCCGATGGTATTATCCTCGGAATCTTTTAATTACATTTCATATGGTCCCCCTCCTCTTACCATATATTTTATTTTTTCATAAATATCATTACTTAGAGCTGAAATTATATGCTCAAAATTAAGTCTATAGAAGTTCAACTTTAACTACCGGACCAAAGTTAATTAATAGACAATCCGCCATACAATATTTTTTTTAGGTATAGTTAGAAAAAGTATGATCCGAACGTATAGTTTTCTCCTCGAGCCTATTCCATTCTTTAAAACAGAACGAGGACTTGTCGTAGTTTTCGCTTATACGTGTTATAATAGGAAAGTTTTTCTTAGATACAAGACAAACCTTTTCGTAAACTTCAATTCCTTGCATTTCTAAATTAAAATTCTAAATCTTATGAGACCAAGTTATATTTGATTATGTTTTTTTTTTAAAGTTAAATTTGATTATATATGGTTTTTCATATTGCTATTTAATCATGAGATTCAGTTGCGAAGAGAAAGAGATTTATTGATGGAAATATTACGAATTGTAACATGGAAATACATTTTAAATTAAATAGTATATACATACTGAGAAGCATTTTTCAATGTTTCATACGTGTAGCAATAATAATTTATACTTGGAAAACTCTATTTTTGCATATATATATAAAAAATATTTAGAGCTTTTGTGGTTATTTTCTTTACTCAACATGTATCACTCTTGCATACAAGATTTCACCATCCGATATTTAATACTTGTATTGTATCACTACACGATAGTTGATAGTTGTTAATTAATGCTATCAATACTAGTAGTGCATTTTTGGACCGCATATCCTGTAAGCCAAGGAATAGAACAAAGACTTGATCACTATATATAATTTGTATATGATCTTAGGGAGTACATCAGAATTCCTCAAAAACACATAGTTAACTGATATGTTGAGAATATTCCTAAATTCCACCTTTACGTAAATTGTCATGTAGTTATTTTTGCCTGTGAAATTTTAAGTGGTTTGAGCAAAAGATACGGTGGGGATTTTGGAGAACGGCATGATAGAGAGTAAGCCAATTGGTCTCTTTGTTCTTGGAATATCCAATCCATCAATGGATGAGAAGAAGATCTTCAAGCCTCAATATGAAAATCATCAAAAAGTAATCTTACCCAAATCCAACTACTACCCACTAACAATTCCACTAATTTTCATTTTTATTTTATTTTTATTTTTGTGTGTGTGTTTATAATATGGTTCCACTGCAAACTTTACATGTGTCTTATATGCAGCTCTAGAACGATCCATCTAATTTTTGTATTAAACAATTGCTTCATAGTTTTAATTACAGATGCTCTCACCTCAAACTGGATATGAGGCTTATAGGTATTCTCGAGAGGATCAAATTAGAATACTTTGCAGAGAAATTGAATTTAAGTATATAAGTTCTCAGATTACGTATTTACATCTCCTCTATAGTAGAATTTGGAAAAAGGAATACAAAAGGAATCAGGTTATGTAAGACATCTTCAAATGCATTTACCTGAAGGTTTTTTCTTTGACTCACCACAAAAGAAGAAGCAATGATTTACATTTTGTGAATCTAGCATAAATATTTTCAATGATTGGTCTTAAAATTTGAAACTGATGGATTGAAAATATTTTTTCTTTATTAAAATAAGAAGATGGTCCAACCTCCGATCGATAATCACTTATTAATCAAAGTTTGCAGGATATAAATATAATAAAATGATAGGAAATGATAGAAGGAACGTTGAGATAAACATAAATTAGATGAGATGATGTGAATAATAAACTCCTCCACCTTGGGAAGCCTTGTCTGTTTCTAAGGATACCACTATATTAGAAATTAAAAAATTGGATCGTTGGGTAAGAGACGTTGAATATACAATAAACTTTTTGATTAAATGTAAATAAGAAAAGAGACTCCTCCACCTTTGGAATTGGAATGACACTGAGAAAGTTGGAATCTTTGCTTTATGTTAAAACGGGTTAGGTTGTGTTATTGGATACCAACTTAATTGCCAATTAAGAGAGAGAGAGAGAGAGAGAGAGAGAGAGAGAGAGAGAGAGAGAGAGAGAGAGAGAGAGAGAGAGAGAGAGAGAGAGAGAGTTGGTCACATCCTCTTTAATTCTATTTGGTATGCATGTCCCTATTGCTACCATTTTTTTATGTTGTTCGTAACCAATCACATACTAAGTTTTATTGGTAGCCTTTGGAGATTATATTCAAGCTATGGTCCATACTCTGAGATTTTAGTGAATGGCTAGGTGATTCTGTCTTTTGTAGAAAGTTTAATAGTAGTCATCCTTTCATTCAAGAATGTTTAGATATGATATTTGTGGACCGACGTTGAAAAATCGTTTTTAAGAATCTAATGACAAGAGAAATATTGTTGTAAGTTGGTATAATTTATACCCATTCCATATGCGACTTAGTCTGCTAGTAGTTTAAACGAAAACTGGTGGGAAAATGGTTACTTGCCTACAATTTGTAGAAATTGCTGGTTGAATATGATATCTTACAATTTTTTTTTTGTTGGTAAATCATTCATACTGCAACAAGCCAACAAGATCGTATCTTGGTATTCTTGCAAATTTGTGGTTTATTTGAACACGTACTACACAATTGTAACTTGTAGGGGGCGATACCGATACATGATACATCCTATAAAGTTCATATATACTATATAATTATACATTTTCAAACTTTAGATAGTGTGACGGATAATCAAAGATCCTTTACGTCTTAACAGAAGATCGTATCTTGCTTTTCTTATATAATATTGTGCTTTAATCAGATAATTAAAATAAATAAGCACGGGATTCATTGATCAAACACAGCCACGAGATTCATGAGCTCATGGATAGATATAAAACGTCTCCACGTAAAATTCCTAGTCAGATTCAACCTCCAAAATTCAAAACAATCATTCTTTAGTTATTGTAGAAGATTTTTTTTTATGATTAGTTAATAATCGATTTCAAAATGGCAAAGAAAGAAATCAGATTAAGAAAGTTAAATAAGAATGAGGATCAATAGTTAGGAGTTATGATGAATCATGTTCGTCCTAAGCATGCAGAAAATCAGATTTTATTATATAGATGGCCCAAGGTTTTTGACTTGAAAAAAACCAGAGAAAAAGAAAAACATGGAATCAGTGGACAAGTGTAGGAGAAGTAGCTGAAACTGACAATTGATGTTGTTTGTCATTTGTTTAGGAGAGAAATGAATAAAGTAACGGTTATTTTTTTTGCAGACGACAGTTACGCTGGACTTTTGAAGACACTGATCCTTAATGTGCAGCAAGACAAAAAAAAAAAGAAAACTGAAACCAGAAGACCAATAAAAGGCATGTTGACTGATAAAACCCATGCCCTAATTTGATAGGAGGTTTTAAAGTCTTTGGCTCTTGTCCTGTTTCACATTCATGTTAATGAGACATATATACTCTGAACCGAGTGTAGACCACTATAAACAGAAAGAGAAAGTTGCATTTTGATGGGCAAAAATTGAGTGAGTGAAATTGATGGAGACAAACACGGGTTTTCACAAGCAAGCGAAGAGCAAGCTGACACCAAACCGGTCCTTGAAGGAGAAGAGAGCGAGATTATACATAATTAGGCGATGCCTCGTCATGCTGCTCTGTTGGAGAGAGCCTCGTGATTAAGAAGCCCTATTTTCAAGGAGAAGTATAGGTGAGTGTATAATGAAACTCCATATCATCAGTGTTTCAGAAAGAGGAAAGAAAACGAATTAATCATTGCTCTGATGGAGAAACCTTATAAAGTTGTTCAGATCAAACGGAAAGGTGACTGCACCCTGAATCAACAAAACATCATGTCAATGCAGATGCTACACAAATCGGATCATTAAGAAATCCATAGAATGAGGACAAAGGAAGCAGCGTGTCAAAAACACATACCCCCTGAATGATGGTGTTTGTCATGTGGATCCTGCATTTCCATGTGTTCTCTCATTTTGTTTTGTTTTGTTTCTTTTTAGGTGCAAAACAACATGAAAACTTTTCTTAGCCTTATGCACAAATTTCTTGTATAGATTTAGTTGGTAGGCTCTAATAAGTCAGTCTCTCAATCTATGTTTATACGTACAAGAAGTAAATGAAATGTTTAGAAACTAAAAGATATCATATTAGCTTGAATGAAAGCGATTTCATGAGATACATGCCTAAGATAATACTTGTGCCGACCGAGTATATAAGTCCAAGCAACACAGTTTATATATACATGTCGGGATCGGTGGTGGTGAGGTTGAGGCAAGCGCAGCGTTCAAGGGAGGTGAAGAAAGGCGGAGATCACGGAGGAGCTAACCCATTGATATGATCGGTGTTGAGAATTCGTCCCTTAAGACTTAAGAGGTTGTTGTACAGAGTAATTGGTCAACGCCTACTTTCCGGTGTGATTTGATCATTAGTTACACCTAAATTCCCTATTTATGGGCTTAACGATTACAATTAAAACTTGTAATCACCATTTACTCAAAACGGCACCGTTTCCTCTAACGAAACAATATGTATAACCCATTTTGTTCCATCTTCTCCGGTGGTAATTTCAGACCCTCCCTGCTCGCCGGAGCTCGAATCGGATGCGTAGATCAATTGTGACTCCGATTGCATATAAAGCGAAGGGATTTCTTCATCGGCATCTCGGTAACCATGGAGCTTCTCTCTCGAGACGAGCTTTTTCTGGTGGTGCTAGTGACTACCGAGACAAGCTGAGAAGTGGGCTGAGTTTTGAAGATGCGCTTGATTTGTTCTGCTATATGTCTCAATCTCAACCCGTTCCTTCCATTGTTGATTTCAGCAGATTACTGACTGCAATCGCCAAGATGAAAAGGTATGACGCTGTGATCAATCTCTCCCAGAAGATGGAAATGATTGGAATTTCACACGATCTCTATAGCTTCACCATTTTAATCGATTGTTCCTGTCGATGCTCTCAACTCTCTCTTGCTCTATCTCTTGTTGGAAAGATGATGAAACTCGGGTTTGAGCCCAGCATTGTCACACTTGGCTCTCTGCTCAGTGGATTCTGTCGCTGGAATCGATTTCACGACGCCGTCTCTCTCGTTGATACCATGGCCAAATCGGGATATGAGCCTAATGTCTTCATCTACAACACTGTCATTAATGGCCTTTGCAAGACCAGCAATGTGGATTCTGCGTTGGATCTTTACAACCAAATGGAAGTGGAAGCAGATGTTGTTACCTACAACACCCTCATAACCGGCCTTTGCAATTCTGGTAGATGGAGCGACGCTGCTCGACTACTCAGAGATATGCAAACGAGGAGGATTGACCTCGATGTAATCACTTTCACTGCACTGATCCATTCCTTTTTGAAAGAAGGCAGCCTTTTAGAGGCTTATGAGTTGTACAGGGAGATGATCAGAAGCTCTATCGATCCTAATACCGTCACCTACAACTCACTGATCAATGGGTTTTGCATGCACGGCCGCCTTTATCAAGCCAGGAAAACGTTTGATTCCATGGTAACCAAGGGCTGTTTCCGGAATGTGGTGACATATAATACTCTCATACACGGGTTTTGTAAGGCCAAGAGAGTAGACGACGGGCTGGAACTATTTCACAGGATGCGTTGTGCAGGATTTGAGGGGGACACAATCACTTACAATACTCTTATCCACGGTTATTGTCAGGCGGGTAAACTCGAAGCTGCGCAACGAATTTACGGCTTGATGGTTTCTTGTGGCGTGGTGAGTCCTGATTTTGTGACGCACTGCATTTTGTTACACGGTCTTTGTGTGAACGGGGAGATAGAGAAAGCGATGGTGAAATTCGAGGATATGAAAAGAAGCGAAAAGTATCTTGGTATTGTTGCATATAACATCATGATTCATGGGTTGTGCAAGATGGGTAAAGTGGAGGAAGCCTGGGAATTGTTTTGTAGACTCCCTTCAGGAGGAGTGGAGCCTGATGCTAGAACATACACTACAATGATATTAGGATTGTGTAAGAACGGGCCAAGGCGTGAAGCGGATGAGCTGTTTAGAAGAATGAAAGAGGATGGGATTATATGCCGATTGAATGCAGAACAAGTCCATGTAGAGAAGACTGAGATGTTGGACCGACTCTGAGCTAGGCAGGCTTTGATCAGATACAAAGCCATTTTTTGTGTTGTGTAGATTGATGACCAAGTTGAAGCGGGTGGTGTGTAAAGTTGTTTTTATCAAAATTAGGCTCCCCAATCCAAAATGTTAACAAAACCAAATTCTCGTCTCATGTGGAGTAAGGAGTGTATGATTATTCCCACATGAAAACGTCGTCGTTTCGATAACGATACCGTATTCAGTATTCAGTATTCAGTATTCAGTATTCAGTATTCAGTATTCAGTATTAAGATTCAGATACCTCCCTCGTTGCCGGAGCAGTGGTTCGTCGTTGGTTGAGTTCTTCCCACAGTCAAATTTTTGGATGCCGAGATCTATTGCGATTGCGACTGCGTCAACGGCGAAGGGGTTTCTTCGCCGGCGATTTCGAGATAGAGGTAATCATCCTGAGACTATTCACTCGCTTTGCCTACGACATTTTTCTGGTGCGATTCATTACCGAAAGAGATTGACACGAACTTGGCTTCACTCTGTCAAGTTCGATGATGCTTTCGGTTTGTTCTGTGAGATGCTTCAGTCTCGTCCCCTCCCTACCATTGTTGATTTCACTAGAGTTTTGACTGCAATCGCCAAGATGAACAAGTATGATATCGTTGTCTATCTCTGCCACAAGATGGAGAATCTGGGGATCTCACACGATCTCTATAGCTGCACTATCTTGATTGATTGTTTCTGCAGAAGCTCTCGACTCTCTCTTGCTCTGTCTGTTCTTGGAAAGATGATGAAGCTCGGGTTTGAGCCCAGCATTGTCACACTTGGCTCTCTGCTCAATGGATTCTGTCGCAGGAACAGATTTCACGACGCCGTTCCTCTCGTTGATACCATGGCCAAATCGGGATACGAACCCAATGTTGTCATCTACAACACTGTTATTAACGGTCTTTGCAAGAACAGAGATGCGGATAACGCCCTCGAGCTTTTCAACCTGATGGAGAAGAAAGGAATCAGAGCGGATGTTGTGACCTACAACACTCTGATCAGTGCTCTTTGCAACTCTGGTCGATGGATCGAGGCTGCTCGGCTTCTGAGAGATATGATGAAGAGGAAACTCGATCTTAACGTGATCTCTTACAGCGCATTGATCGACACATTCGTGAAGCACGGGAATCTCTTGGAAGCTAGAAACTTGTACAAGGAGATGATCTTCAGATCTGTAGATCCTAATATCTTCACTTACAATTCACTCATCAATGGGCTTTGCATTCATGGTCGCCTTGGTGAGGCCAAACAAGTGTTTGATTTGATGGTGCACAAGGGATGTTCTCCGGATGTTGTGACCTACAATACTCTCATAAATGGGTTTTGCAAGTCTGAGAGAGTGGAGGATGGGATGAGACTCTTCTGTGAGATGGCTCATCAAGGATTGGTTGGAGACGTCTTCACTTACAACACTCTTATCCACGGGTATTGCCAAGCAGGCAAACATACTGTTGCACAAAAGGTTTTCAATCGGATGGTTGATTGTGGTGTGCCTCCTGATATTGTTACCTACAACATTTTGTTAGATTGTCTATGTAATAACGGCAAGGTAGAGAGAGCGCTGGTGATGGTAGAAGATATCCGAAAGAGAGAACTGTATGTTGATATCATCACGTATAACATCATCATCCAAGGGATGTGTAGAACTGGTAAGGTGAAAGAGGCTTGGTGTTTATTTTGTAGCCTCACTCTCAAAGGAGTGAAGCCTGATGCTATAGCATACATTACAATGATATCATGGTTGTCTAGGAAAGGCCGACGGCGTGAGGCGGATAAGCTGTGGAGAAAAATGAAACAGGATGGGATTCTTATGCCAATTATATGCATAAATAATGAAACACTTAGTAGAGATCACGACACAAGCTCATCGGCTCAACTCATCAATGTAATCAACGAGTACTCAAGCCTTCTCCGCAGATGCTCATGACAGTACTAAAAGCATCAAGGTCATTGATATGTTATTATGATGGAAAGCATTTGGGTCCTCAAGGTTCATTTTGCTTTGGCGTGGCAAAAGTTGGTTTGGTTCAGAGAAAGTATCCTCGCTGCTCGTTTATCACTTGGTTGGTAATGCTGAAACGTCTTCCTACGAAGGATAGGTTACGGAGTTGGAGTTTAAATGTCTCGGGACAATGTATCCTTTGCTCTAACAGCATCGAGTCACATGATCACCTCCTCTTTGTATGTGAATTCTCTGCAGGAATCTGGTCTCCTTTTATGGGAAATCTATGGCCGAATCCACCATCATCATTGCAAGCAGTTGTGGCAATTTTGGAAACAAACACCAATCGGCTTGCACCGCATCTTCGTTCCATTCTTAAGCTCGTATGCCAAGTCACCATCTTTCTCATTTGGAAGGAACGGAATTCTGTGCCGTGAATAGGATGGTGCGTGATCGATTGCTTTCTTTTCCACCGTCAAGCATCTCCTCCCCTTCTCTTCTCCAGCTCTACTTCCAGCATTTAGGGTCCATTAGCTAACGTTTGTAATTTTTTATCTCTCTCGCTTTGTAATTACTATTATCTCTTTCGAAATAACGTTCCCTTTTTAGCATTTTGGCCTGCCGTTTTGCATTTAAATTGGACCGTTTATTATACAAAATCATGTTTTAAAAAAAAGTTCATAAGGACAGAGAGGTTCTTTAAAGAAATGAGTAAACAGTTAAAATATGTCTCACCTTCCACCTTATAGAGTCTCTAATCCCTATATTTTCTTTTTTCTGTCTTATGCAATAACAGTCTCTTTTAATCATTTTAGTTATATATTGCCGTTTTATCTTTGTATTTACATTGTTTCTTATATATATATTTTTGTTCTTATTTTTATCTTCTTTGATTTCTTTTTTTTTATCACATTTATATTTTTGGACTTTTTTTTTCCTCTTCTCTTTATCTTCACTTTTTTCTATTTGTCTACATCATTTTTTTCGTTTTCTTATTCTTTTACTTCATTTTTTTCATTTCAGATTTCCTTCTTGTTCTTTTTTGTCTTTAATTTTTCCAACTTTTTATTCCTATTCTTCTGATTTTTTTTTATCTTTTCTTTAACTTTCACATGTTTTTTTATCCTATCTTTCTCTTCAATTATTTTATGATCTTTGTAAGCTATGATTTAACAACACATGTTTTTTTTTTCTGAAAATTTGAAGATTAATTGATAAGTATTCTATTTCACTTTATGTACTATTTTTGTATAAGTTGTATTTCAACATTATAAACGAAAAATGATATGAATATTAACATCTTACCAACAAAGTTGAAAAATGGGTAAGTTGCAGTGTGCATGTTGTATTTTTCACAACCACATTTGTAGCACATACAAACTTTTACTGTTTTAGCATTTTGAATCCGTATATTTGTATTGGATAAACCCAATTCATAAATTGAAATTTTAATCTCCATTTTGTATTGTAGTCTCTTATATCCAATAAGTTTCACTGATGAAAAGCCACAGTTCTTCAACAACTAAATCTATTATATTAAAACAGAAGTACATTTAGTACTTGCTTCCAAACACTCCTAATTTTTTTTAAGTGTTTAATTTCGAAAATTAGTTATTAATTTAAATATTTTTAGAGTTCCTTAAATATATGTAATTTAGATTTGATTTGATTTGATTTGATTAAAAATAATAAATCAGATATTAATTTAGATTTGATCTAAACCCTAAAAATAATAAATCAGATATTAATTTAGATTTGATTAAACATTTTTATCAAAAATATCTAGAATTTTTGAAAAAAAAAATTCACATATGAAAAATAATGGTCATATTTAAAATATAAAATATTTATAATGATGTAAATGATATGATATTTATGTTGCTTATATAATATATTTACGATTATGATTTATTTACAAATTAATAATAAAATAATAGGTAAAATTCAAATGTATAATTTAAATATTAAAAAATATTTTTTAAAAATTCATAGAACTAAAAATATATATAAAAAACCGGATTAAAAATATTTTGGTAACTAAAATCACTAATTTTGAATTATACATGTATATCGAAAATATATTTTTCATACAAAATCAAAACAGAAAAAATTAAAAATTATTGCATACACTATAATGTGGTTTGAAAAACCAGTTGTACACTCCCTTTGTTGATTAAATTTTAGAAAACTATAATACTAAATAATACTGTTAATACATCTCAAACTTTTAACAAATATTTATATTATACGGTAATATGAACGGAAAAGTTAGAATTATGTTTTTATAATAGTTCATTTTGAATTAATATTAGTAGACAGGTTAAAATTATATTTTTATAATCATAATTAATTTTAATACTATAAAAATATATCTAAACACAAAAATCAATATTTTCACTTATTAAAAGATATATTTATAAAAATAATTATATCTAAACTCAAAAACACAAATTATATTACAAAATTCGTTAAACAATAAAAAAATATTCCCGTGCATCTGCACGGGGTAAGAATATAGTTGGTGATTAAATCTTCTTTCTTCTTTCTTTTGTCTCTTCTCTTTTTATTGGAAAAAGAATCGTCCTTTTGTCACTTCTCTTTTTATTTTTATTGGAAAAAAAAGCGTCATTGTAGAAGGATTCAGCATCATGTAGATAATCGAGAGGGGGAAATTCCATAAAACGCCATCTTAATTTTTTTGCACATAAATCCGGCAACCAAAAGATTTTGATTACTTGGTTGGCTAACAAAAACGTTGTACTCTGATTTTATGACATCAATCTAATACATATATGTTTGCTACTTTGCTAAAAAAAAAAAAATTACCATTTTAAGTTCCTCGTAAAACTCCATAGTCGTATATGTGAGAAATGGCAAACAAGGCCACATGCAAGAAGAGTTAGACTGTTATTTTCATAAGTAACTGGCTGCCAGAAAACATTAGGGGAGCAACAGTGATTCACGAAACAGGCAACATTCCCAACATTCTTAGCACTGATTATAAGAGGAAGCGGGATTTCAGGTTCTTCAGACATCTCCTCAGAAGCATCTTTGTTCTGCTAAGCCAAGCTCATAGTTCCATTTGAAAGGGGTATAGACACATGTTGTATCCAAAGTATAATCATCATTAGCCATAGTTTGCTGTGCACCTTCATATACATATAAACGAACCAGCACGAGTAGGATCCCACGAGCGCAAGCACCATCCTCTATTCACTGTCTTGAAAATTTCCAGCCTCATTTTAGTCCCATCCGAGTAACCTTGTTTTTGCAAGCCAAGCACGGGCAAGATGGGCTGCATTCATATATCATAGGCTTCCGGCTAACTAGAACTCCATTAGTGGTATAGGGGAAATCGCCTCCATTTTTCCTTATGCAGTGACAGTTCAAGTTCCCTGGTTTACATGGGTTACCACAGTCGCATCTAAAAGAAGGCTGTGTCAGCTTAAACGACTCTGAATATTTCACCGTAGTGTAGTAGGTGTAATAAGAAGGCCCATTCTCGGTATCAACTTGATTCACAAGAACAGCCATGCTTTCAACCCCGGAAGTAATATCGGAGAGAATGAGTCCTTCCCTTCAAGGCATATCTGCTTTCCACTTCTGGATCGCAGTCCATGTAGCAAATGCAGGAGGTTGACCAGGTAACCTCGTTAATAGTAAACTCCAAGGGTAACATAGCTCCCCAGATTGGCCGTAATGTGATGTCTCTGAACCTAGAAGCAATATGGAGTGGGAAAGAGCTAATCATTTGTTGTAGGGCCTAGAAGTTTCTCAGGTTGTCTCAATACTTGGACTTGTTTCCGCCTGCTCAACACACTTCTTGGGTTTCTTCATTGAAGGGAGAGCGAGAGGACCCAGTCTCAACCGAGCAACACCTGTGTTTTCCTTTGATTCTAAATCTCTGCTCTTCATTGGTGTCCTCTTTCTGCGTGATCTACTAGGACCATATTGCGTCATGGTCGTTTTATTTTCTGGCTCTGTCTTCTCTATGCCCTTAACCTTAGTACTAAAGGGACGGCTACTGGGATCCAGACTCAACCAAGGACTGCTTGGAGAATCCCTGCCTAGTTCTTTGCCAGAATCGACATCTGTTGAAACTATTTCTACTGTAGAGCTTCGGTTATCCTGCAGATGAAAAAGTTCATGCATCACCAAGACCATCCACAAGCGCCACATTAACTACACAACAAAAAGGACATCTCTATGTCTACTAGAAATTAGGATCTATATATGCTTTATTCCTATTTTTCACAAAGTCCTAAGTATTGAGAAATTAACCCCCCCAAAAAAAGGAATGCTGCTCCCTGGGCCACCTGTACATAACTGAATAAATAACTACAACATACCTTATCCTGCATTTCAATGATTTCTTCACATTCTGAACCCTCTTCGCCTTCAGAATCAGCCATCTCTTCACACTCAAACTCAACATGTTCTTCCTCATTGATCTCTTCGTCAGAATCACTTAATTCCTCTTGTTCCATCACTATACCTAGATTAGATTGATCAGCCATCTCGTCAATGCATCTATCGCTTGTTGCGGTTGATCCAGGCACTTCAGAGCCATCATTACGTTGAATCATGCAGATATCTGGAACTTCTGAAATATTTGCTGCTGAGACACTACCACAATCTTTGACCTTAGAAGAGCTCGGACTTAGATTGATATCTAAGTTTACATTTTTTGCATGTTTTCTAGAACTGAAAGGTTTCAAGCTGACATCATTACGACCAGTACCAGGGATAGAAGTCTTCTCACCGGCATTAGAACTATCCTGAGGTTGAAATAATTTGCCTTTCTTGCCAATGTCTGTGTCTAAGTTCCGACGTCTACTAATGAGATCACTCGTTTCACATTCAGTTCTTTGAAGAAGAGGATGAAAACAACTGTCGCCCAGTGCAGCCTCGCTTTCATTTAATGATGACTTGTTCTGGAACTGATCAGCTGAGTGATTGATTTGCCTTGGACTGTTGAAAAGACTCAGCAGCTGAGGTCGATTGTCAGAAAAGAAACTGAAGGAACTAGAACCTTCTCGGTCTCTGATTGAAGGGTAACATGTGATCTGTCCCTGCTCAGGGGTCCGGAACAATAAAGGATGCATTTGAAGATCTGAGTCATTGTCCGTCTCGCCCATCCCAGAAGAGCTCTCTGCAGGCAAATCTTTCTCGCAAGGGGGACTGTTGTTATCTGCGTCAGCTGAAAAGCAAGGAGATTCCGTACCCAAAACCGCCCTCCCAGAAACATCAGACATGCCACCCTTATTGATACAAGTTTTGGAGGATGTTTCAGACCGATTCTTTGCAAAAACTGACTGCGAGATAACACGGACCGAAGATGGAAGGTTAAGTGGAGGTAAATCAGGGGCTAGTCTCACTACACTTGTGTTGCGTTGTTTACGAGGACGACGATATGGCTGCATGATTATCGGTGCTCTTGAGCCACCGGGTGCTGTACCAGATGTGTGGTGGTACAGAGGAATGAAAGAAGGTGCAAGTCTCCGCGTACATGTTAGAGTTTGGGCACTAAAACGTTCAGCATTTTTAGATCCTTCACCAGTACATGTTTCAACTGACTCATGGCGATCACGGGGAACATCCTTTGCCTTACCAAAGGAGTGCATAGACGTAGAATAAAAGAAAGTTGGCATGCCAGGCCTCCAGTCTGCTAAAAATCCTTCATGAAGGTATGCGTCACCTGAATTGTCCACCAATTCATGTCCAACATGATTTTCATTGGCCTTAGAAGCACCACGACAATCCTGCAACATGCGATGAAAGGCGAGTAAAAGGTAAATTACATAGTTTTTTTTTTTTACGAGAAAGCCAAATATTAACATACTTGGTACGAGTGGGTTGTATTATCTGAGCATATGAAAGACAGACCTCTTTTGCAGATGCCAACTGCTCTCTGAACTTTCTTTTGTTTGAATCATATATTCGCCGCTTCTCCTTTTTGACAGCATCTAGCTTATACGATTTCTGAATTCCAAGGGCAGTGCGCCATTGCCTTGGCAGTGAGGATGGGTCTCGATAAGGCACAACGAATTTCCACACCAACATCCAGTCATATTTGAAGTACTTAAGTCCCTGAGCATTCAAATTTATACTGAGCAACGGAGTACGATTTCCAATCAGAATTGCGAGGGAGTGCGCTTGTCGAATTACCTCTTGTATACGTTCCATCTCTAGTGGGGCCAGGGGAGAGCTTTTCATCCTCAAAACTGCCTGTAGATGGCAAAATATATACATACACACCATTAAAGCGAAAAGCCAGCAAAACCTTGGAATTGTGATTGAAACAGAATAAACTACATATCATTTTTTAGACATCAGTCTGTATCCGTCTTAAACATGTAATGTTGAATTGTATAAAGTATGTTCGGTTAGCTACACATCTATCTTTTAATTTAGCAGTCAAAAGCATTCAGAGATGGTCATATTATCTATTAATCATCCAATTTTTGTCACGGCATCCACCATTATCTTTTAAGACGATGAGTTCATATACAGATTTCTCTTATGTTCATGATATATATATGATCGTTGCATAGTGCTTATTTGTGGACAAACAAGTTCAGGCCACTGACTTTAGGAAACCGACAGGCAGACAGAAAAGCATACAAACTATAAAAAAAAGCGTGATAAACCATATCAAGCATATAACAGACCTTGATCGGATTTTCTGGGGCTTTAGATGATCTCCGGTTTTTCTGCCTAATATAAATCTGAAATAAATAAAAGAAGAACGTATTAGAAGATCTTTCATTTCTTGATCATCAGCCTGGTTGATGAGAACCCTATCAAACCACATGGACATGCAGATCATGAGCTACATTAAACTTAATACAGTTATGTTTATGAAATCAGAACACCAATATACAAGTCCGTAATGAAAGCAGATTAAAAATATTTCATTTGCAACAGGAATTCAATCGACCTAAAGTTTTTGTCAAGATAGCAGCTGAATTTTTGTGGTCAGAATATCCCTTGTGATAATGAGAATATCCAATCAATACCTGATAATTACTATTACTATCTAATTCAGTGATGATTACCTGATGTTCGCCTTTACATGGAAGAAACCGCTGCTTTATTGCCTTCCAGTCTGAGTTATATTCCATTATTCCAAGAGCCAGTAATCTGCATACAAGAGCAGCACTAAGAATCAATTTTCTACTAGATTAGAGTAAGAAAAGAAAAGAAAAGAAAAGGAACTTACTCATCCTCAGCTTCGGTGAATAGGAACCGATTGCTAACAGCTGCAGCAGGTGGCTTGCGGGGAAATAGCGATGCTTTGAACAACGGCAGAAATCTGTTAGCTAACTTGGCGATATCCTTATGGACCAAGGCAACAGATTGCTTCTTTGCTGATTCAACGAGTGTAGCAGCTAACGTCTTCTTAGACTGCTGCTGATCTGATGGTGACTTACTTGTACTAGGAGCTGAAGGAGGATTGTTTACGATGTCACCGCCAACTTCTTGGTGAGGAAGTAGAAACAATGGCACTCTTTGAGAAGAAGCATCAAAACCGGATTCCACTTGAGACCGTCGATAATCTTGAACAGCTACAATGGTTCAATGATCAAGAGAATTATATTGCAAAATAAAACAGATAAGAAAACATATATTATTGAGAGTATCTTTCAACCCAATGACATACCGGTAGAAACATCAACTAGATATCTCCCAGCTAGAGCAACAGTATCCAGAACTGATGATGCCGAACCAGAGACAAGAGGATGACTTTGGCGTGAAACATATCCTTGGTGTTGTTGGAGCATCTCAGATATAAGTCGTTGGACTTGGGTTCCAATGTGCTGCCGTGAATGATCGAATGCACAGAGAGAGTAAACTTGGATAAGAAGTTGAAGGTGGTCATGAATCAAACAATGCAATTCCCCCATTTGGGCTTGACTGAATCCATAAATTGGACTGTCTCCTGACGAAGCAACTGCTTCAGTAGCAGGAAACCTCAAAGCAGGTGGTGTAACGGGCAAGATAGGTATAAGAGGGCGTAACACTCTGTTAGGCTGCTCAGGAGAGTTGGAGATGTTTTGCCGTCTCTTCTGCCTGGTCACAGGCCGTCGCCTATTGATTTTGTTGTCATCTGTTATGACCTTTTCTGGTATGCTTTCCTCGTCATCAGTCTCCAGTGCTTCTTCAAGTTCTATCTCGAAGTCTATATCATTATCCTCATCATCATCATCATCGTTATTTCCAGTCTGTGTCACCTGAACATCACCATCACCACTGTGTAAAACGGCGGCCAGAAACTTGCGGTATTCTTCCTCATCATCAACATTTGGAATGTCATCCTCATCGTCAGTCTCCTGAAGGAAAGCTTCGAGATCATCAAGAGTAAAACTCTCGAGCGAATACCGAGCTCTAGTTCGCTTGCAGATTGCATCATCTTCCTCATCTGACATCAAAAGTCGCCTCTGAGTTTGGATCATGTCTCCATTTTCATATGCCGAACTTTCAACTCGTCTTACAAAGTCGCCTCCTTTCTCAGAACCGGGATCAGAATTCAATTTCCTCTCCTTGGGGATTGATTCAACATTACTTTGCATCGCGATGTCCTCTTTTGCTTCCCTGCCGTCTAAGATTTGCGCAACAGTAATGCTATTAACAATTTCACCATCAAGAGTTTCAACTTCAGAGCTCAAACTCGAAGAAGCCTCACGAGAAGGAGTTCCTTTTAGAAGCGGATTAAAATCAACATCTTCTTCTTCTTCTTCTTCTTCTTCTTCTTCTTCTTCTTCCTCGTCATACTCGAAATCCTCTTCTGGAATTAGGGTTTCTACTCGATCCGACGATTCCATGACTAGGGTTGGTTCCGCTATCTAAACATTGATCACAAGAATGAGTTTTGATTCCCCATAATCTGCAATTCAACAATCAATTTCTTTACTAGACAGAAACCATCGAAAAGGAATGAAGAACAAACGATTGAAGAGGATTTGTGTTTGGGCAGAATTTAACGGAGTGTTTCAGAACCCGGGAACAAGATCGAAACGCGTCGGGTAACGTAATCCTTTTTGTTTTCAATTCATCCAAATAATGTCTTTGGGCTTTCCATGACCGAAATGATGTATTTGGGCCTACCCGACAAAAAGATGTATTTAGGCCTACATAATTTTCGGTTTAAATAAACAAAACCAATGTGTATCAATCAATGCAAGGGAAATTGCACCCAATAACCAATCACTTTTTTTTGCAATACAAGTTTAACAAAGAGAACATGCCAACTAACCGGCGAGGAGAAACAATGGTAAAAGAAATATGTAGAGAGATTCAGCAAGTTATATGAGAAGTGAAAAACGTTTATTATTATGTTTTGATATACGTATAATGCTATAAAAAACAAATCCATTATAAAACTGTTTAAAACTTTCAAATCCACAAAAGAAAGGCCACAAGGAATCACCATCAAAAAGAACTAAGATGAAGACTGGAGAAGTTTCTTGTAGTCATTGAAGGTTCCATGGAATGGTGCAATCCTTCCATCTGACACAACCCAAAGCTCGTCTACGCTTCCCGATATCAGATGCTCGTCGTGACTCACCTGCAACACATTTTATTAGTACACACCAGATATATTCATACATTTTGATCCTTCTTTCTTTTTTTTTTTTTTTTGGAGCAAAGGATTTGAGCTTACCATGCAAATACCGCCTTGGAATAAGACAAGTCCTTGAATCAAAGCTTCCACAGCATCCAGATCCTGCCAATTATATTACTCTCTTTTAGCCCATTAAAAAAAAAAAAGGAAAGTAGATTTCCTTCCTTTGATTTTATTGAGAAGAAGATGCAAATTATTATTATTTGGCTTACAAGATGATTGGAGGGCTCATCAAGCAATAGCAAGTGCGGTTTCTTGAATGTTATCTTGGCAAATGCCACTCTGCTTTTCTGACCACCTAGTTTCCCATTCAGACCAAAACATTAAAGACATTAGAGGGGTCAAAAGTAACAAATTAAATCACTCCCGCCAAACTTTGGAACAACACAAAAGTGAAGTAGATCTGATAATAGACAGAAAAATAGAAAGAAACAAATGGCATACCTGATAAAGTGTACATGGGCTGCAGTGCAAGATTTCCAGTGACCCCAAGAGAACCCAGGTGACTTCTCAGCTTTTGTTCTGGCACTCCCTACCACATTATTTCACATAATACCAGTTACGACTTATCCAAGTGTGTACATTCTGCTTCAACTATCTTGTGCAACTCAAGTTGTGCTCGTAAGAAGTAGAGAAAATTGAAAATACTGTAAACACTTATACATGATGAATCCTTTTTTAATTCTGATTTATGATCTCTGCGAACTTACTGGGTAGCAGCGCATCATATATAGAAGAGGATTCGAAGAAAGGTCTAGTCCATCCACATGGTGCTGACTAAAGACTGCTACTCTAACCTGTCAAAAGGATATCAATACATCATATTAGAGCCACCAACAAGTTTAGCATTAGCAGGAATACGAGCAATTCTCGTGTTGTTGTCAAAAAAAAAGTTTTAGTAATCAATATTTTCTAAATCCATAATAAAAGGTCATTCTATATCTTCCAGAGGAACTGTGTCAAATTTGTTGTTCAGGTAAGAAAACGAGAAGTCCTTTTGCCATACCTTAGCAGACCGGAAAACTGTTCCAGAGCTTGGTTGCAGATCCCCAGAAATAAGTTTGAGTATAGTTGATTTACCAATACCATTGGGTCCCACCACTGCAAATCGACGACGAAAAAACCATATATAAAACTCAAAAGGTTGGGAAGAGCCTCAAATATTAAGTTCTACAATGTTCTTTGATGTTGTAACATATTGGTATCCACATATGAGTTTATAGACATATAGGATCCTAAAAATCGAGGGAGGGGGGGCCTTCTTACTCGCAATACGGCTATCCAGATCTATTCCGAAATTCAGGTTCCTAAACAGCAAAGGACCACCAGGGTAGCCAAATGATGCATCACTGTAGAAAAGAACAAACGAGTAAGAAGATCTATCACCTGTGTCCTCCCTATACCAAAATTAGATAAGTTTGTGTCAGATTCACTGAGGTGGTTTCCGGAAGATGACAAACCTGAAACTGATAATTGGGGGTCCAGGCTTATCGTCAGGAGTTGGGAATTCAAATTTATAGCTGCAAAAGAAAGACAAGAGGTTAATGCATAGAAGGTTGGAGCTTAGGGCAGGCATCAAATGCTACTGTAGCAAATTTATCTAATGTCAGAGTATAGCACCATTCCTAATTTCAACTGAAAGTGCACCATTCCTAATTTCAACTGAAAGTGCACCATTCCTAATTTCTACTGAAAGTGCACCATTCCTAATTTCAACTGAAAGTGCTTTAGCATATATATACAAGAGGAGTTCGCTTACTCAGGATCATTAATAACTTGATCCACATGGGCCAGCCGGTCCAAAGCCTGAGTCATAGAGATAATAATATTAGAGCAACACTGATGGCCAAACTATAATCACATAAATAGATGTAACTGTTGATACCTTGATTCTTGACTGAACAAGGGACGCCCTCTTTGCATTGTATCGAAATTTATCAATGAACGCCTGCAGTAAAAAACAAGAAATGAAACTTAAATCCCCATGCTGGAATACTGCTAAACAAACCAGAGACGGGTTGAAAACAGAATTCATGATATCATTGTGCAGAAAAAGAAAAGAAACCTGCATATGTGATCGCGATCGTTCACTTGACTCGAAAGCTTTTTGCTGATTCTTCACTTGTTCTTCCCGTGTTCTTTCGAAAACATCATAATTTCCCTTATAGGTACTTAGTTTTTGGTTTTGCAAATGGATGATGTCCGTGACCACCTGCAGCCAAAACAAGCATTACACGTGTGCAGAGCTATTGGGGAAATAATAGCTGCATGAAGATCAAGAGAGAGAAAAAGTACCGAGTTCAAGAATTCCCTAGCATGTGAAACAACTATAAATGTTTTTGGCCACTTGGTTAGATATGTTTCCAGCCATAAGACAGCGTGGAGATCAAGATGGTTCTACCAAACCAAAACAGAGGTTAAGAACGTCAGAAGCTTGAAAGTATAGAGGAAATAGATTCTCCTAATAAAGAAAACACACCGTAGGTTCATCAAGCAACAACAAATCAGGCTCTATAAATAGTGCACGAGCAAGTGCAATTCGCATCCTCCATCCCCCTGAAAAAGTATTTGTAGATTTCTTCTGCATTTCTGGAGTAAAACTGAGACCCTGAAAATATCATAGAGAACAACGTTCGTAAGTTCGCAGTAGTCAGACGCTAAAAGCAACAAAAGCACATGCAAAGATTTTTCTACCAGCAGATAGCACCCAAAGCTAGCCTTTATATGCCTTTGTAATGATGAGTCACGACTTGTGTCCAGATATGCATACCCTTTTGTTTATATCTATGCTATCATGAGAAACAAAGACCCTAAGAAGGCAGCAGAAATCTGAGAGCAACTTACAGCAAGGATACTAGCTGCCCGAGCTTCAGCAGTATAAGCATCAATTGCATCAAGCCTTTTGTATATTTCTTCAAGCCTGTGAGACATAAGATCTCCTTCAACTGTATCTTTGGTAGGCATTCCATCCTTAGCTGTGGGTTCTTCCAACTCCAGTTCTCTCTTCAGATAACCAAACAATGGTCAACAATACCACCAACGACAGACAAGATACTAATACCAGGAAGCAATGACTCTTTTAATATCAGTAAAACTAGCTTGTAGCTAACCTGCTTTGCCAGTATTTGAGTTTCTTCTTCCAATAGCTGGGCTCTTTCAATATCAGTGTTAAGAACACATTGTAAGGCTGTCGTGTTGTCACCAACCACTTCTTGTTCGACATGCAAGATCTGGCAGTTAGCAGGAATACCCTCTATAGCGTGCATAGCCATATACCTCAAAAACGTTGTTTTTCCGGTACCATTACGTCCGACAAGGCCTGTAAAGTAAAATCCGTTTGTAAGTAGAACTTTTCTTTCCATCAATCTCTTTTCTTTTTCCATACCACAGCTAGAAGAAGAAAGGAAAAAAATTAATAGAAGAAGTAGGAACCGACCATAGTGGCGTCCAAAAGAGAGGGTGATTGATCCGTCGACAATGAGATCACGGCCTCCAACAGAGACATTGAAATTATCCATATGAATATCTCTGACAGCAGAGCCACCACCAGTGTCATGATTCACACTAACAGTAGGCATCCCTGCTTTAACCGCTTCCATTTCAGCAACATGCTGTTGATATTGAACCTGCATAAACAAGAAAACCACTTGTAAATCAGCAAAAAGGAGCACAATAATCTCAAAAAAAGGCAAAACAAACAAAAAAAACTGTAAAAGACCTCTCTTTGGCGATCATCCTTTTTCTTTCTCCTTTCAATCTTAGCTTTGTCACGTTCTGACAACAAAGGCCCATCAACTGGCTCTGGCTTCTTCTTCTTCACCGGTCCATCGTCCATTCCATCATTCATTCGAACAGGCATAGCAAGACTTCTCACAGTTGGTGTTGGCTTCACCAATCCATGCTTCCCAAACTTATCCGACAGTGTGCTACAAACCTACACACACCAAATCCAATCACAAATTGCCTCACAAAGGAAGGAATTGTCCATTTCAGATATTATTAAAACGCGACCTAAGTCAAGCAAACGAATCTAGAACAGAGGATTGAAGTAAAGAGTGGCACGGCCTCCCGCTGATTGCTTACCAGACGGCACTCGTCGAAATCGGAGACGCACTCAGCAGCAACGAGAAGCTCACCGACGGCATCAAAGGCACCCTCGCCTTCCTCACCGAAGTCGAAATCCTCGTCGGCGAGGACATTGATGATGTAGTCCATGATCGGCTCGTCCACATCCTGCGCTCTGCGTCCCAGCACTTCATAAACCACCGAGCTCGCAACTTCTGTCATGGCGGCCTCAGACCAATTTTCAACAAATTTCCAGAATCTGAGACTTGATTTGGTAGCCAAAATGGAGATACCCTTTGTTAGGGCTCATTGGGTCTG